CAGGGAACCTTACACTCTGGGGGCCGGACTCCGGCATTGGTATCTTTTAGAATTTCCCAGGGGGATTTCTAATGTTGATAACCACTGACCTCCACAAAGGCAATGAGAAGTTCTTTACCAGAAAAATAAGGGAAGACTTGAAGGGAAGTGCCACGTTCCTGGATGAGAAAATACTAACTAATAAACTTTTCCTAGAAGAAAACATAGGCAAAACATTATATGACATAAATCTTAGCAATGTTCTCCTAGGGCAGTCTACCTAGACAATAGAAATAATAGAAAAAATAACAAATGGGACCTAATTAAACTTACAAGCTTTTGCACAGCAAAGGAAACTATAAACAAAACAAAAAGATAACCCATGGAATGGGAGAAAATATTTGCAAACGATGCAACTGACTATTTCCAGAATATAGAAACAGCTCACACAACTCAATAACAACAACAACAAAAAACCAAACAACTCTATCAAAAAATGGGCAGAAGACCTAAAAAGACATTTCTTCAACGAAGACATACAGATGGCCAATAGGCACATGAGAAAATGCTCAGTATCGCTAATTATCAGAGAAATGCAAATCAAAACTACAATGAGGTATCACTTCACACCAGTAGGAATGGCCATCATTAAAAAGTTCACAAACGATAAATACTGGAGAGGGTGTGGAGAGAAGGGGACCCTCCTATATTGTTGATGGGGATGTAGTTTGGTGCAGCTATTATGGAAAACAGTATGGAAATTCCTTAAAGACTAAAAACTAAAAATAGACTTAGCCTAAGATCCAGCAATCCCACTCTCGGGCACATGTCTGTAGGAAACTCTAATTCAGAAAGACACATGTACCTCAGTGTTCATAACAGCACTGTTTACAATAGCTAAATATTGAAGCAACCTGAATGTCCATCGGCAGATGATTGGATAAAGAGGTTGTGGCATATATATGCCACTCAACCATAAAAAATAATAAAATCTGCAGCAACATGGCTGGACCTGGAGCTTGTCATACTAAGTGAAGCAAGCCAGAAAGAGAAAGACAAATACCATATGATATCACTTACATGTGGAATCTAAAAAAATGACACAAATGAACTTATTTACAAAACAGAAAGAGACTCACAGACATAGAAAACAAACATGGTTACTGAGGGGGAAAGGAAAGTGGAGAGATAAATTGGGATTTGCAGATACTAACTACTATATATAAAATAGATAAACAACAAGGTCCTACTATATAGCACAAGGGACTATATTCAATACCTTGTAATGGCCTCTAATGAAAAGAATATGAAAAGGAACATATGTACACATATATGTATAACTGAAGTATAACTGAATCACTAGGGTGTACACCAGAAATTAATAACACACTGTAAACCAAAAAAAAGAAAAAAGAAAAAAAAAACCTAAGCAGTAGACTAATTCAGGAATGAAAAAAAAATTAACTTTTCCACATTATACATTAAAATTTCTATTAAAAATTGTGATTCACCAAAATCTACTTTCCCTCCCTAGGAAGAATGCCCCTCCACCACCTGACTGAAGTTAGCTTTGACCATGGAAGGTGCTTTGGCCAATAAATTGTGACCTTGATCATTTCCAGGCAGAAGCTTCGAGAGCCACGGTCTTTCCACTCTGAGGTGGATAACGCTCCAGCTGGGGCTGCTCCTTTGCCCTGGGTCCTTGAGTTAGGGTGGTGATGGGGCATATAAGATTTGTAGTGTGAGGAAGAAATACATCTGTCTTTAAACCACTGAGATTTGGGGGTTGTTTCCACAACAGAATCTAGTCCTTCTTGACTGGCATGGAAATTCAACACAGAAGCTGACAAAATCATTCTGAAATTCAATTGAAAAAAATAAACATGCAGGGAGGGAAAAAACACATGCTGAAGAAGCAGTGAGCCAGGGTGAATCCTATCAGATATTAGGCCATATTACAAAGCAACAATAATTAAAAATGAATAATATTGGGTTTAGAAATAAAAGTCGACAAATATATTTGTACTGAAGTACATGAAGTCCATAAATAGACAGCTATTCAATATATGACTGACTGTGATGAAGGTCTTTCAATTCTAGTGTGCTAACTGTTGAGCTGCCTCAGTTTACCAGTCAAAAGTGACAAACATGGGCTTTGCTCTAATGTATCAGGCCACCTTTGTTGAAGGATTGCTCCTTACTCACCAGTCCCTGGAAACATTTATTAAAAACCCATTCTTTAATTTTTTTATTTTTTAAACTGAAATATAGTTGATACATAATATTATACAAGTTATAGGTGTACAGTGCAGTGATTCACAATTTTTAAAGGTTATACTCCATTTATAGTTATTACATTTGCTATATTCCCCGTGTTGTACAATATATCCTTGTAGCTTATTTTATACCTAATAGTTTGTACCTCTTAAGCCCCTACTGCTGTATCACCCCTCCCTCCTTCCCTCTCCCCACTGGTAATTACTAGTTTGTTCTCTATATCTGTGTCTGCTTCTCTTTTGTCATATTCACTAGTTTGTTGTATTTTTTAGATTCCATATATGAATGATATCATACAGTATTTGTCTTTCTCTGTCTGACTTATTTCACTTGGCACAATACTTTCAAAGTCCATCCATGATGCTGCAAATGACAAAATTTCATTCTTTAAAAACGCATTTTTTAAACTAAAGTCACATCAACAGACTTAAGGAAGCAGTAATGCTTTCTCTTGAAGCTACCAAGGATATTTTCTTGCCTGGATTTCAACAAACTGAGTTCTGGATTTTTGACCTAAGGTCACATTTGTTTGATCTTATCACCCCAAGGTTAAATAATGCACCTCAACAGTTAAAAGACGTACAGATAAACCAAAGAACTAAATAGCACAGCTAGAAAAATCACCTGTATCTGCTAGGTCACTTGTCTTTTTGGAAAACTACTAAAATATAATAAGCTATAGGAATTTACTTCTAAAATTGTGATGAAACAAATGGTAACAACAATAAAAAAGGAAACAAATTACTATGAAAAACTTGGGGATTGAGCTTGCCCTTGATGGACTCGCCTCACCCCATGAATTTTCCTCACTCATAGCCCTCTCCCCAGCCCAGATGGGCCATGCTCTTAAATTAAAAGGCAACTGTAAATGCTATTTCTCCCACAGCCCACTCCCCTCTGTATATGAACTCCAACCTCTCTTCACCTTGAGGACCTGGCTCAAATCCTTTTCCTGGAAGAACCAACCCTTCCTTCCACGGGAGCCTGGACCACACAGACCCAGCTCTTCTCCTAGGATTCTGGAGGCCAGGGCGGCCTGATCCACGCTCTTGTCTTGGCTCTTCCATGTACCGGCTCTATGCCCTGCCCACGTTACCTAGCCTCTCTGTTTCTGTCTTTTCATCCCAATTTTACAAGCTGCTGTGGTGATGGAAGGGATTACGTCCATGTGAAACAGTGGTGCTGTGTTGGGCACACAGTAATGCTGGCATTTCTTGTTGCTGGCACATTGTGCTGCTCGCTCACATTCCCGAGTTTCCATCCCAGGCCCTGCGGCCTAGCCACACCTTCCCATGCTCTACTTGTGCAGATGATTTGTATATCCAAGTTCAGGACCTTATAATTGTTCCCCATAGCTTTCATTTTTGTTAGATTCTCCCTGTTTTTGCCTTTTGGATCCAAACCTGTTTCCCACCTACTCACTATTTAAATGTGTAAATCTGGATCTTCACTTATATCTTCAGGTCATTGACCAAACTTAGGACAGAACAGAGTCTGTAAAGCGGGTGTCTTAGGTGGGAGTGCATACAGAGGAGGAGTGGGATGGGGAGCACTCAGCCTGGCCCAGAGCAGGTGCCCTGCTCATGCTTCCCTACCTGCCCTTATACTCCACCAACGGCAGCATAAACTGGAACAACCTTGCTGGAGGACAATCTGACAATGAGTACAAATGTGCATAAAAAATGCCAACTCTGAAATTCTATTCCTGGAAATTTACTCCCAAGAAGTCATTAAAGAGATGAAAAAATTCCCCATAAAAGATATTTATAGCATCATTATTTAAAATACTGAAAATCTTTAAATAATCTAAATGGCTACAAAGAGAAATGCTTAAATAAATTACAACAGGGTAATCGTAGCTCTTAAAGGCAACATGGCTCTTAAAAAAGATTAAATATAATGACTCTGCATCTTTCTGTTAGTGAATATAAAGTTATTTAAATTAAGTTACCATAGATATACACATTATGACTGCACCTAAATAAAAACTATGCACACATAGATAAAATAATGGAAGGACAAAGAAATAGAAAATTAGTTATGGTGAGAATGTAGACATAATTTTCAGTTGTTTCCCATGAAAACACACTATAATTGATTTGGTTATAAAAATCCCAAATGTTGGTACATATACAGACACATATTTTAAGTGTTTATTATTTATGTTTGTATATATAATCTGAAGGGAGAGCTAAATAAGAGTCAAGAATGAGTGAGTGGTCCAGAGCACAGAGCCTTGGCTAACACAGTACTTCAATTAAAGGTAAGAAGCATTTGTCAAAACATGAGCTCAAGTTCTTGTCCTCAAGGAGCTTGAAATCCAATGAGTTGTTAATGTGCCAGATTTCCTTCCCCTGACATCCATGGGCCTCATCACAACATTTGCCTGCCAGTCCCAAGAGTCCTGAGTGTCAGGAGGGCATAGGGGACAAGGGCATTAACTAACCAGCAGGGGACCTTGGGCAAGACCTTCCCCTTAGAGCTTCAGTTTTTGCCTCTCTCAGTTTCTGCCTCTATGGGAGAAGATGGAGTGGTCCCACTGCCCATTTGAAAGGCTGATGTGAGGCATGGCTTCACAAATGCCCAGTACAAGTTGGCTGCTATTATAATTGGGTGCCCCACCATCTCTTGCAGATGGGCATATATTCTAAACTTAAAAAAGTAAGGCAGAAGCAGAAGTAGCAGCACTCCTGCAGTGGGAACAGAAATGAGGGCTCCTCCACAGGGCCATGCCCCAAGCTTACCGTAGGTGAACATGCGTGGCGAAGTCAGTTCAATGTTGGGCAAGGCACCCAGGTGGTTCAGCACAGCACACCGATAGCCATTTTTCTGGGCATAGTCGACAAAGGTGCGGATGTACTGCTTCTCGCTGTGATTGGCAATTCCAGGGCAGATGACCATGGTGATGTCATCTACAGTGTGGAGAAAGAGATTCCGAGATAGCCAATAAACAGTGACACGGTAAATGAACACAATTACACTTCACTGGCTTGGAAAGCAGTAGGAGAGAGTTTAACAAAGACCCTTTCACTCAATTCTCTGGGAAAGAATATCTTTCCCTTCTAGCTGGAACTGTCTGTATCAGTGCTTCTCAAACAATTTATGGTGAAGGGTCAGTGGGTCAGTTTTTAAAGTTCCAGTCCACTGTGGACAGATGCTTTTGAAAAATACAATAAAAATTAATTACTAGAAAAATGAAATAATAATTACAAATCTCAATTTTTTATTATTAGCTTCAACAGATATAAAATCACCCTGTCAAAGTGCTATATGTTTCTGAACATTGGTCTTAATTTCTATATGAAGTTCTGTATGAATGAATGAATGAATAGAAAAATAAAAAGCAGTGTTTGCAAAGACCTCTTTGATCCAGCAGTTTTACTTTCAGGTATTTACCTTATAGGTACACTGTACATATGCAAAACAATGTATGTACAGTACAGATTGCAAAGGCAAAAGATTGGCCATAACCTAAATGTCCAGAAATAGGGGTCTTGATAAGTAAATTATTGCATATCCAAACGATGAAATATTACGTAGCCCTTAAAAATAATGAGACATCTTGTGGGAGGATATGGCTCAGTGGTGGAGTGTATGCTTAGCATGCACCAGGTACTGGGTTCAATCCCCAGTACCTCAATTAAAATAAATAAGTAAATAAAGAAACCTAATTGCCCCCCAAACAAAAATAAATTTAAAAATATTAAAAACAGAAAATAAATTAATTAGAATACTAAAAACAAAAAATAAATAAAATATTTAAAAAATAATGAGACATCTTTATATACACTGATACAGCAAGCTCTCCAATATGTATTAAGTGGAAAAAAGCAAGGTGCAGAAAAAGGTTATGATACGCTACTGATTGTGTCGGGGGGAAAAGACATCTATGTTTATAAATGCATCCACTAGCTCTGGAATCATACACAACAATCCTAACAGTGGGTACCACTGGGGAATAAGGGTGAGAGAGAGACTTATATTCTCACTGGACGTCCTTTAGTACCTTTTGAATTTTCTATCATGTGTATTAATTACTTACTTGAAAATATGAATATGTATTTTTCTTTAAAAGAAAAGTAGTGGTGTTTAGGTTATTAAATCTAATCATAAATTTTCCTCCTAAAGTTAAGATGAAAACAATTTAAACATTCTTATGTAATATACATAAAGAACTTTAAAATTTCTATAAACCTTGACCTTGTAATTCTAATTCTTGGAATCCTGCCTTAAATTTTATGATTAAGGATACTTACCAAGCAATTATTTAAGAATAACAAAATTATAAGCAGGCTAAATGTCCAAAACCAGAATGATTAAATTATGGTATAACCACATTGTAGAATATTAAGCAATCATTAAACATTTGTTATTGAAGACTTCTAGACTTTTAATAGATATGGGAAAATGTAATGCATAGTAATTTAAATTTTGGAAAGACTTTGTGTAGAATTGCCAAGTAAATGAAACAAAATGTTAACAATGGTATGCTGGGTGTGGAATTACAGATGATTCTTATTTTCTTTCTTAAATGTTTCTCTATTATCTGCATTTTCTACAGCAAGTATTTATTCCTTTTGTAGTCAGAAAAAAGTCATAAAAAGGGAAAAAGGGCTGCTTTTCTTAGAGCATTTCTTGGAAGCAAATACTGTCTTCTAGAACCACCTCCATCAATCCTTTCTGGGGACAGGGGTGCTAGAAAGACAAGGATGAGTACAAAAAAGAATCAAAGTTTTGCCCATTTCAACTTTCCGTCTCAGTTCTAGAGGAGCAGACTGGTTAAATTAAGTTTTGTGCTTTAGCAGTAGAAGGAGTCAGAGCATTAGAAACAAGGGAAAAAAAGTTTCACTGGGTATGGTAGAGAAATAAATATTTGAAAGATCAGCTACCAGACTTACAAACACAATGAGAACTCCTAATCTATTCATTTATTCATTCCTTCTGTGACTGTTTATTGGACTCTGGGGATTCTTATCCCCAGACAGATAATAAACAACTACATAGATAAGTTTAGAAAGTGGCAGGTACTGTGAAGAACTAGAGCAGGAAGGCATGATGGATTTCCCGTGAAGGAAACACTAGTTAGAGGAATCTGGGATCATCCCTCTGAGGAGGGGGCACTGGAGCTGAGAGCTAAGTGATAAGGAGGCAGTCACGTGAAGTTCTGGGACAAGCATTCCAGACAGAGGGAACATAAGCAGAGCTGTCATCAGCTACTCAGCAGTTCTAAGTGCTTTAAATAACTGAGAGTTGTAATATGTTTATAGGAATTTACTCTTAAATATTTACTGAGCTCCTATAAAAAACTAGGTGCTTTGACTACTATAGAACTCAAGAGATACATTCTCTTCTGGTTGGAACAGCACTTAAAGGATGCTGTCATCTAATTCCATTTCCTCAAAGTCCTCATTGTAAGGCTTTTTATGAATGTTTATTGTGCAGGCTGGACAGAGCAATCTGAGTTCCATCAGCAACAGAAATTGTGGCTGTTTCTGAGAAATACGTGTTCCAGATCCCTAGAAACCTAAGCAGAGGGTATTTCTAGAGTCTTTGTCGTCTGCTGTTACCCAGCAAACAAGACCAGCCTATATTGATCTCTAAGTCTCAGTTTCCTCATCAGTAAAATAAGGAGAATAAGGCACTGGCTATTGTGATGATTAAATGAGATAATAGTATATACAAAGCACATACAATAGTCTAGCTTCTGCTGCTGTCATCAAACCAGAGGCCTGGTCATGCGGAACCAGGGCTCCAAGTTCATACACCAAGCTTCTGTATTTCACGAGAGGATTTAAAAACTACTCGACAATGCTTTCTGAAGAGCCCTGCACAGTGCTCGGCAAGCATACACAGGAGCCATTCCTTGCTCGTTACTCCTAAGTGATGCAGACCCTCAGTAGACTTCCTACCTGCCCCAAGCATTTACACCAGCTCCCTCAATGATTAGTGCCGTCCTGAGTGATGGCTCAATCATATGACCTAGACTAGCTCACCTCCCACACAGTGCTCAGCCAAGGGCTCAAAGAGGTCAAAGGTCGAAGTGGCTCCATCAGACATGGTGATGAACTTCCGGTGCCCGTATGGGTGTGGCGACCTCACCCTTCCCATCTTCCCATACAAAGCTGTTTGGATGTGTCCACTTTTCCCCCAGATCAACGGTGGAATGTATCTAAGAAAAAAGGAGAGGAGAAGTCAATTTCCCCACACTCTTTGAATAATGCTCTAAAGAAAGCTTTCAGCAAAAGTCTTTCAACCTATTAAGTTTTCCCTTGATAAATTCTGTACACTAAGCACAAATACGTGATTTTTTCTTAAACCTTACATCCATGCCACAATTAATCCCCTTTCCACATTTTTGCATCAGATTAGCTTTAGAAATCAACCAGGACACGCTTAAATAGACAGGATTTCAAATTTAGGTGTTAATTAATTCAACACGGGTTATTTCCATAATGCAGAATAGAAAGCAAGCAAGTAATATGTTTTGAACACATGTTATTTGACAGAGTTAGCCTCATTATCAAATGAGCTAATGTATATAAAATAGCTAGCATGGCGCCTACGCGCATTAAATGCTCACTTCTCTGCCTTCCCCACACAAGGAGGACCACAGCTGCAGGGGTTACTCCATTAATCAAACTTGCTGCTTCTGTTAAACTGGGAAAGGCTGCAAACCCTTCTAAGAGTCTGTTAAGTGCCCTGTGCATGTGTGTGTCAGGGATGGAGGGCACTGTACGCTCTGGAGAATGTGCTGGAAGGGAAGAGCAATATAAATATTTGTTGGATTAATGAGGATAAAGGCTTGTTAGCATAAGCAAGGCATGACACTACCTTAACAACTGTCCTTTGTGAAAACAGAGTGACTCTGGGCCTTGGTAGGAAGTGCAGAGATCACAACCTAGTTAATTACTGGGAAAACAAGGTGCTCCAAGTTACAATTAAGAAATGATTCTAGTTAAAAAAAAAAAAAGAAATGATTATAGTTCACAACCACAGTGCAAGATGATCCCATTTACTGAAAGTGCTGTTGGTTTCTCTTCCTTGGCTTTGAGCCCAAGCTTGATGATTGACTAGGATTGTGTTCTATATAAATGAGAGACATATAATATAAAATGGTAATGACATCAATTCTTCATCTCTGCATCGTATCACAGTGATTTGTGCCTATCATTTCTATCAGACCAGATGATCCTGGAAGCTCTTCTTAAATTGAACCAGATTTATTCTTTTTTTTTATCATAATTCATTAAATCTACAAATTTAAGAGAAGGGAGATTATCAGCTTAAGCAAGCCAGTTCCCAGACAGGCTTCCTCTTTGAGGGCAGGGAGGAGAAGGAAGAATATTTTAAGATCTAAGGACAGGAAACCACTTGCTAGCATAACACCACAGGTGCAAATCTCAGTGCAGAGGCCGTGGCCTTTGGAAAGCAGGTGAAGGCATTTATAAGAGATGAGTGGATTTTGACAATAATAAAAAGCAGGCTTGTAAAAATAATGTCAATTGGACAACTGAATACTAAACAAGATTTAGATAACAGAATTTATAAAAGGTTTCAGACTACCAAGTTGGGCAATAAATTGTGTGTAGTGGGAGGGGTGTGATCCAAGAAACCAAACTTCTGATTGCTCCTGGAGGAAAAGCTTGAAGAAAATTTTGTTCATAACATAAATTAAAAATAGAAATATGTTGATGTTAAAAATGTCAGAAGAATGGGTTAAATCTCAACGGCCTATCTTCTGATCTGATTTAGAATATGATATAATTCTAGAAGATATGATAAAAGAATAAAATTTCCTTTTGGCTATTCACAGATTTCCCACTGAATCATGACACACGGGCTCATCCTGAGGCCACGCTCCTGATTCAAGGGAATTTTGGCAACTGCCCCACTAAGTGGCCTCTCACTGAGTTTTGTTCCACCCACCAATGGAGGGAAATTAACACATAAACCTGCCCCTCCACCCCCTCATTGTTTGAGTCTCAGTGGCTTGGCCTAGGAGGCACACCACACCCTGGGGCCTGCTTACCTTTCTTACGCAGGCTCCAAAAACCCTGAACCACCAGCCTGGCTGCCTCCACCCCAAACAGGCACACCTTGTACTGGGCTATTTTTTCCCTCCCTCCGGTGGAGGCACTGGGGATTGAACCCAGGACCCTGTGCATGCTAAACATGCACTATATCACTGAGCTATACCCACCCCTCTGTACTGAGCTATTTTTACCCCAAGTACCTTTGCTCAAGCTGTTTCTCCTCTCCTTCCACACTCAATTCCTCTCCTGCCCAGCTATTACATGTCTTTTAAGAGTCACTTCCAATCAGGTTTTTCGGGGAGCTTCCCTTCTTTGTGCCCCTGGCAAAGAACCCTGCACAGAACACCCACGAGGCTTGAGTTTTAAAATACACTCTTTTCAAGCACACTCCTCCCCGCCACCCACTGAAGCCAGGCTTTTTCTCCTTTGTGTCAAACCCCAGGGCACTCAACACACACTCAGCTTGTAGGGAGGGCTTGCTGTTGAACAGACTACAGACTCACAAATCTGAAAAGACAAAAATATGCTTAAAATATCATATGCGCCATAGTAATGTGAATTCAGCTGTGGCATGATTGGTATTTGGCTACTGTTCTCTTTCCAGGCTACTTAGCACCATTCCCAGACTGGGCTGGGATAAAATTCTCAAGTTGTGTGAGTGAGTGCGTGTGTGTGTGTGTGTGTGTTGTGTGTGTGCGTGTGTGCATGCATGAATAAGCAACTACCTCAGGATCACTTGAGACTTGCTTAATTCAGCGTAAGGTCAACTGTGCACAGTGGAAATTTGACAATGTATAATTTTTATGACGATACCACCTACTGGTAAAACAGTTTTTAATTAACTTCGCAATAACACAACACGGGCTTATAAAATTGAGTTTTTGCATAGCATATTTATTGTCATGGAGTTTTACTGTTTTTGTTTGTTTACATAACTTATCCACAGATCTCAAGAAAAACTTCAAGAAACACAAAAAAACAGAATAGGTGCCTAGTCACGTGGTTTAGGTCAGGGAAGAAATACAGAGCAAAACAATAGAATATTTTCAAATTTATATAAATGTGGGAACAATTAAGAGATGCTGCTGAAACGGTACACAGAGGGATACGTTTTACTCTACCTATGCAGTAGTTTGTCTGAAAATACAGCTGCAAATAATTCCACCTATTCCTGTCCCTGCAAACCATTCTTCCCATCAGGAGGTAGACACCTCCCCACCCGCCATGAGTCTAGGCTGGCCTGCGACTTGTCTGGCCTGGTACAACATGGTGGGAGGACTGCTGTGCAGATCTGGCCCTTCTGAGGTCTGGCGGCTTCTGCCTGTACCTCCTCGGAAGCCTGGTGCTTTGTTATAAAGAAGCTGGGTCTTTATTACCCAGTGATGAGGGGAAGTACGGAAGGGGCCCTATAGGTTGAGAAATAAAACCTAGAACTACGTGCATTCTAAATTTTATAGTATCACCAAACTGCCTCCCACAAAAAAGGGACTAATTTATATTCCCACCAATCATGTAGTGAAGTACCTGTCTTCCTCATTCTCATCAATCATTGGTGTTTTCAATCTTTGACAGTTTTGGCCACTTTGATAGGCAAAGAATGAATATTTCATTTCAATTTCTGTTTCTTAAGGTTGGTCCAACCTATGTTAAAAAAAAGTTTCTTATCTGAATTTGCATTTTCCTGATACATATGTTTATTAGTAATTTGTATTTCTTTTCTGTGAATTTTCTGTTCATAGCCTTTGTCCATTTTTCTATTATATTTTTCTTTTTCCATTTTTATTTTTATCACTCCTATATTGTCTTTATATATTATATTTTGGAAAGGTTTTCTCCCAGTCTATTGTATATTTTAAATTTATCTTTTATATAACTTTTATATTTTGTGGTTAAATTTGTTAGTTTTTTTCTGTTAAAACCTTTGTGTTTTACATTTGGTTTTAAAAGGAGCTGTTCCAAAGGGTAGATAAGTTATCATGTCCATGAGATTTTTAAAACATTATATAAATATATATTATATATTATTTACTGTATATATAGTAAAATAGTAAAAATATGAAAGTGAATGATGAACATCAAAATTCAGTTTAGTGGTTATTCTGTGGAGTAAGGGAGGCTAGTGAGTTTGTAGATTGGTATACCAGGGGCTTCAAATGTATCTGTAACATCTTATAATTTAAATGAAAATATGAGACAATTATGGCTAAATATAAGATCTGATAACATTAGAAGATGTTCACATAGGTGTTCATATCACATTTTTGGCGTTTGTAACGTTTAATAATAAAAAATATTTTAAAACTTAAAAAAACAAAGACCTGTTGCAACACCCAATTATAAACATATTCTCCAATATTTCGTTCCATTATTCCTATAGCTTTTAAAAATGTATTACCCTTAAATCCACTTATTTTTGTAAATGATGCGAAGTAGAGATCTAATTCATTTTTTCCTGGCAGCTAATTGTCCTTATACCATAAATGGCCCATCCTTTCCCTACTGATTTCAATTGCTATTTTAAATATATACCAAGTTCTCAACTAAATATTTGGATTTGTTTCTACATTTTCTGTTCTGGTTCACTGATTTCTTGGTCTGTTCTTGTGCCAATATGACACCACTTTAATTAACATGGCTTTATGGAATATTTCGAGAGTTGACAGTAAAGGCTCACTTCACTCTACTTTTCCAAAATTTTCTTGGCAGACTTTTGGCATTTTATTTTTCAAATGAACTATAGGATGAGCTTGTTTTATGAAAATTTGGGGTTTTTTAAATTGAAAATACACCAAACTTATATACTACTTTGGGAAGAACTGACATTTTTACAATTTTGACTTGTCCTATTCAGAAACATGGTGTATCTCTCCATTATTCAATTATTTATGTCTGACAGTAAAATTGCTTCATGTTTCAATACGCAGTTTTTACCATGCTAATTTGCCTGCATTTCTACATTTTTAAAGCTATTCTTAGAGTTAGCATCTGGCCATGTTTTACTCCTAACTCCCAGAAAGCAGTAGTGATGTCTTCTACTTATCTAGATGGTATTTTGTCCAGTGTTGTGCTGTGGTCCATGGTTAATAAATGCTCGTTACTAAGAAAGAAGCTAGAAGGCCACAACAAAATACAGAGA